AAAAATATAAGCACATGGAGAATGAAAAATAGTCTTTTTTCATGATTTTTATTGGCTAATAGTTGTTATACATAACATTCGGTTTCGTTTTGACATAATTATAAATGAAAGGAATATAATTTGACCCAATTCAGTTGCCAGTACTGACACTTACCCTACCTCTCCTCCCTCCCCTTGTTTCTTTTTCTCTATTCTACTGATAAGCTTATTTCCATTTTTAAAAACAGTGTCATATGGATATCCATAATGTGAGTTTCACTGTAGTATATTCATATATGTACATTGGAAAGTTAGTTTCTCTTATCCCATTCCTCCCCTGTCCTCCAATCCTCTACTTCTACTCCCCTGATCTTTTATTTTGACAGCATATTTCCATGGTTTATCTTCTTTTTTCTGCCTGCCTTTTTTTAAACCAGTTTCTGCATATAAAAGGAAACATTCTACCTTTCACTTTCTGGGTCTGAGTCATTTCACTTAGCATTATAGTCTCCAGTTTCATTCTAGCTAATAACATAATTTCTTTTTTATGACTAAATAAAAATACTCCATTGTTTATAAATACCACATTTGCTTTATTTATTCATCCATTGAAAAGCAGTTAGGTTGGTTCCATAATTTGGATTTTGTGAATTGTGCTTATATAAACATTGATGTGGCTGCCATCTTATAGTATACTGATTTTAAATCTTTTGCAAATATACCAAGGAGTGGGATAGCCTGGTCATATGCTCTTAAATAAAGATTGGATCAAAGGAGAGATAAGAGAAGAATTCAAGAAACTTTTAAAAATGAATGAGACAGAAAACAACATATGAAAATCTCTTTTTAAAATTTGTTTTAATTAGTTAACATGACAGTAGAATGCACTTATATACTTTGATGTATCATACATAAATGGGGTATAATTTCTCATTTTTTTAGTATACATATTATAGAATCACATTGGTCATACAGTCACATACATACATACAGTAATAATGTCTGTTTAATTCTACTATTTTTCTTATCTCCACATCCCCTGCCTTCCCCTCCTTTCACTTCCCTCTACCTAATCTAAGGTAAGGTTATTACTTTTTTTGCATTACAATTCTTAATACACATAAATACCATAACTTTTGTATTTCTGTTTGTATATAAATTATGTTGACCCCCAATTCAGGTCTTCATACATGTACTTTGTATAATGATGTCCATCACATTCTACCATCCTTATTAATCCCTTGCCCTGTCCCTTTCCCTCCCACCCCTCTTCCATATCTAGAATTCATCTCTTCCTCCCATACTCTCCCTCCCAATCCCACTATAAGTCAACCTCCCTACAGTCAATCGATAAATATATGAAAAAATACTCATCATCTTTAGCAATAAGAGAAATGGAAATCAAAACAACTCTAAGATATCATTTCACTCCAGTCAGCATGGCAGCTATTATGAAGACAAACAACAATAGTGTTGGTGAAGATGTGGGGAAAAGGTATACTCATACATTGCTG